GTATGGTGAGAGGCCACACAGATAGTGGAAAACATATGGACTTTGACATCCCACATAAATTGGAACCTTCTGTCTTTTACAAGCTGTGTGTCATTGAGTACATTCCCTGAATCTTGAATTCTTCCTCTGTTACTGAAGCAGTTCCATGTGCTCTGAAGACTTACTCTGCCTGATCAGAGTAGGCACCATTCTTGGCCCTGTGTGAACACCAGTTACTGTTCTTTTGAATCCTTTCTAAACCACCAAACCCAACCCACTGCTGCTGAATCAATTCCTGTTCATGCAATCCTATAGGACAGAATAGAACTTCCCTATAGGGTTTCCAAGGCTGTAAATTTTTGTGGAAGCAGATTGCCTCATCTTTCTCCCATGGAGTTGTTGATGGGTTTGAATTCAATCTTTTGGTTAGCAGCTGAGTACCTTAACCATTGCACCACCAGAGATCCTTTGTAATTCTTTCAGGATCCTCAAATATAATATGAAGCATTTAATTATGCCTTCTCTCATTTTAGGATATGAAATTGCCTTCCCCCAACCAGCCTATGAAATACTAAGTAGTATTTCAATGAATTTAGAATGCCAATTTTTGGAAGTTGCACCAATATTTATTTACCTCTAAGAAAGGAGAAAAAGCATTGCTGCTTAAGTTATAATGTAATAATTTCTTAGCATTTAGTACTTGGTTGTTGCTTTGCAAGAAAATAGGTAAATTTTTTCATTGCTTGAAAGATATATACTTACTTTTCTAGTATCAAATTTTCTACCACCCGTCTGTCAGTTTGTCAAACTGTAGTGGCTTGCATGTTGCTATGATGCTTCAAGCTTTGCCACCAGTATTTCAAATACTAGCAGCGTCACCCATAGTGGACAGATTTCAACAGAACTTCCAGACTAAGATGGACTAGGTCAAAAGGTTTGAAAATCTGAACGTTAACCAAAGAAAATCCTATGGATCACAATAAAACATGGCCTGAAATAGTGCTGGAAAATAAGCCCTCTATGTTGAGAGACACTCAAAGTACACAGTGGCTACAGTAAGGGCTTGAGCATACCAATGGTGATGAAGATGATACAGCATTTCATCCTGTTCTATGTGGAGTCAGTACCAACTCGACAGCTACTAACAACCACAGCACTATCAGATTTGCACCCCACTACTGTTCTGTGTTTTCTGTGAACACAGTTACTTTTGTTTCAATGCTGAATCATAGTGTAATCATTCTGAAGATATATTCAACAGCAAGCAAACTCAACACCAGTAGTAAAGCCATGCACACAGTTCAACTAAAGTGATGGCAACATAAACAGTTAAGAAAAGTTGGTGACTGCACAGGAAGGGACATCTGCATCTGGACTACTGACTGGGTAACTGCAGCTGTAAGACTGTAAATAAAACACATTCTATGTTCAGAGATATTAAAATATGAAAAAATATATTTTAGAGCAATTAAAGTTAGCAATTTAGGAATCTCACTGCCCCCCAAAAAAATAAGAACAAAGGAGCTCTGGTGGCATAGTGCCTAAGGCATTTGAATGCTAACCAGAAGGCTGGCGGTTCAAACCCATCAGACACTCCTCAGAAGGAAGGTTGGGCAATCTACTTCCATAGAGATCCCGCCTTAGAAACTCAAGGAGGGGTTGCTATGAGTCAGATCTGACTCGATGGCAGTGAGTTGGTTTTATATATATATATATATGTATATATATGTGTGTGTGTGTATATATATATATATATATATATGAACAAAGGTGAGCTACTGAGAACTCAAACAGAGCTCTGATTCTCTGCATGAATTGATGAGCTTATTTAATATGCTTGGTTATTGGAGATGGCAGCTAGGGTGCAGTTGTTAGTATGTTCTCCCATACATTGCACAGAAAGCAGTCTCCCTGTTCACTTAATGGTTCTAGTCTGCTCTCTGGACTTGTGTGGGATAACTTGAATTCCTCACATCCATACACTTTTTAAAATACTGAATCAGATCGTCGCTCATTTTTCATTTTCTTCATCTCTCAAAAGTTCTGAAGGCTCAAGATAATGAACTTTAAACATTATTAAGAGTATTACACATGCCTTTATTATTTGATAACTAATAATGCTATAGCTACCACTTCCAGAATGCCCCTACAGCTGTCATCTTGCTAAGAACTCTATTTATATGACCATATTTTTTTCTAGTCATGACAATTGTCAGAAATAGGTATAATTATTGTGCCATTTTAATGACGAAAAACCTGAAGCTTAGAGAGGATTAATCACTCTCCCAAGGATGTACAATGAATGAGTAGTGGGTCAGAGTTTTAAACCAAAATTTCTCTGCAATTAATATCAAACCAAAAAACCAAACTCACTGCCTTCAAGTCAATTTCTACTCATAGCAACCCCTTCTTAGGTTTCTGAGGCAGTATCACTACGGAAGTAGATTGCCCAACCTTCCTTCCGAGGAATGACTGGTGGGTTTGAACTGCCAGCCTTCTGATTAGCAGTCAAATGCCTTAGGCACTACGCTACCAGAACTCCCCTGCAATTAATACGGATTTTTAATACATTTTTTGATAAGAAAGATACAAAAGTGATATAATAAACCTACATCCAAATGAGCAGGGAATATTCTTTCAAATTAGGGTTCCAAGGATATTATGTACTTATTCTAAGGTTCTCCTGCTTCTTAGGACACTTTTGTAACTCTCCTTTAAAATTGAATTTAGGACCTTTGTTTTGAGTGTTTTTATATTGGTCACTAGTCCTTTGAAGGAGCTCTGGTGGTATAGAAGTGAAGGTATTTGGCTGCTAACTGAAGGTCAGTGGTTCAAACCTACCAGCCACTTCATGGAAGAAAGATGAGACAGAAACCCAGTGAGGGTCACTATGAGTAGGAATCAACTCAATGGTAGTGAATTTAGTTTTGAATTTTTGTATTTTCCTTTGACGTCAGATTTTACTGTTTCAGTACCTCAGGAAGGAAGTCTGCTAAGATATAGAATGACTGTGATCAATGGGGAGAGATAAATTTTAGAACATAAAAAATGGCCTCAGTTTTCCTGAGTTGGCTGTAAACCAAAGCTGAGGCATCCTTGGAATGTGTATATTCTCTGGGTGATAATGATTTCGAAAGATATAAGACATTTATGGAAATGCAACTACTGGAGGTTAAAAAAAAGCCAGGACCCACATCAACTTCATTTGTCACTATAAGCAATTTGAGTTGCACAAAATTTTGTTCCTACACATCAGATTGGCTGTTCAAGACTGTATATATGGCTCCTGGAGATATTTTGTGTGGTCCTTTTATTGCACCCACATAGTAGTGTATTAATTGGTACATAATTAGGGAGATGTTGGGCTTGCTGGCAATATAAGCAATTTAGCTCCGATTGTCTATACCCACTCAGGGTTTATGTTAATCCCATGTCCTCTGAAGGCATCTGAGCTTGTGATTCCAGGTATCCACGTTCTTTATTTTCCTAAAGAATTTTGAATACTAGGAAGGAAGATGGAGCAACCTACTTCCACAGTGATATTGCCTCGGAAACCCAAGGAGGGTTGCTATGAGTTGGATCCGACTCAACGGCAGTGAGTTTGTTTTGAGGCATTCCTCTGCTCAAAAACCCTTAGGTTTTTCATGCCTTAGTTCAAACAACTTTTAAGAGCCCCAAATAAAGATAATTTTTTTTTTCCAAATGAAATTTTAGTGATCCTCATTTTGCACTCCCCAGCAACTGTGCTCTGTTATAGCTCTTTGTGAGTAGTTCTCATTTCATTTGATGAGGTGTGCCCTTCACCAAACTCCTCTTTAAACACAGAAGAGGTGTTCCTGTGGAAAAAAGTCTGAGGTCTTCAAAGAGACCCACTTCCTTTATTGAATAGCAGAAAACACCCTCAAGTTATTGTACCCCTTACTTTATACTTCTTTTCTTTCTCTTTGCTTCTTTGTCAATCATGCTTGCCTTGATCTAGAACTTAGTCTTGGGTTCTGATGCTTGTTCTCAACCTTACCTAGTCTTGGTGAATCTTTTACTCACATCCGGATTCCTAGTATTGAGTTTCACCTATTATTGTGTAATTTTATTCATGCCATGCTGTGGTGGCCTGTCTCTGCTTCTATGCTATGTCCACTTCTTATGTTGGGGCTGATACCTGAAATAAACCACAGTCATTGCCACAAGAAGAATGGAGAAGCATGAGAGTCCATGGGTCATCCAACCTGGTGGCTCCCTAGTACCTAGCACAGTTTTTTGCATACATAGGTCCTCAATAAACATTTGTTCATAGAGGAAGAGGTGGAGCTAGAAGAAAGATTTGGCAAGGGATAAACATAAAACCATATGGAATTGTGAACAGGTGGCAGAGGGCTTCCCATTCTACTCCTTGGTTAAGATTTTCTGAGATTCTAATTAGAGAAGGAAATTTTCATATGAGGATTGAGGAAAAAAAAAAGTGATCACATGGCCTCTTAGAGATCAGGCTCTCTCATTGGCATGGCATTCCATGACTGTTAAAATAATGAAATCTGTTGTGATGTACCACTGAAGTTCTGATTTTTTTTTTTTTTAAATGGTAGCCCAATCTTGGGAGCTCTGGTGGCATAGTGCCTAAGGCATTTGGCTGCTAACCAGAAGGCTGGCGGTTCAAACCCACCAGCCACTCCTCGGAAGGAAGGCTGGGCAATCTACTTCCGTAGTGATACTGCCCCAGAAACACAAGGAGGGGTCACTATGAGTCGGATCCGACTTGATGGCAATGGGTGGGTTTAGCCCAACCTTGAGGTCTTACTTAATGTCACAGATGGTGTGGTCAACTTTTTTTTATTGTAAAGCAAGCTCTGAAAAATAGAGCAACCAAAGCGATCTTCTTATATATAAACTGTAAGTTATCTGTCGCAGCATCATAGACAGACAGCTTTGAAAGCTCACATAAGTAGGTTATCCTCTCATCTAACCAAGACAAATAGCTTTCTGGCTGCTGTTAGTGACACAAGCCCAGAGTGGGGTGGAGGGAAATGTGGGTGAATTGCATTTTGAGGTCTGGGTTGCTGTTTGTCACTCTGTCTCTTGCCATTGCCAAGCACAAGCAAACTTCCTTCACCAAAAGTTGCTGCTTAAAGGGAACCTTGATCCAAGCTGTGGACAGCCTCTTCGTCAAGATGGTGTGGATCAAAGCCACAGTTCCAGTAAGTGTCAGGCACTGTTTAGAACATTCATAATCCTGAATAAAACTTACTTCTCTTTGTTTTATTGTAGGAAGAACACATCAAAAATATAAAATTATTAAAAAAGAAAACAAAAAAGCTGTTTATGGTAAGCCAGAGTCTTTTTCACTTTTGTTTGATACTTTTTTCCTGTAGTTTTATTTTTCTAGATGGCCATTAAGTAATAATCTGGGAGATGTGTCAGTGACATTTTAAAAATTGAACTATTAATGATTCACTTTATGCAATGTCTTATATCTTATTTATAGAGAAATTGCAGATTTCAAGAACAGCTTTTGTCCTTTTTGGTGGAAGATGTTTTTGGACACCTCCAATTACAAGTTGGCAAGGAAGTACACTTTGTGGAAGACTTCCATAGCCTTAGGCAGAAATTGAGTCACTGTGTAAGTATGTACAGCAATATACATGTAATCATTCCCTCATTGTATGATTTCCAAGTAATTCATTCATTTAACAACTATTTCTTGGACAACAATTGTGTGCCAGGCACTATTCTAGGCTGTTATTTTTCTTTCTTTCTTTTTGAAAGTTCTGTAATAAGAGCTTTTAGATTGTCTTTTTCTTATCTATTTATATAAATTTTATAGTAATACCCTTTTTATGGCATAGTCTTGGTTGAAACAAAAATTGAAAAAAAAAAAAGGGAGTATGTTTTCTTTAGGAGCTCTGGTGGCCTAGTGCTTAAGGCGTTTGACTGCTAGCCAGAAGGCTGGAGGTTCAAACCCACCAGTCACTCTTCAGAAGGAAGGTTGGGCAATCTATTTCCATAGTGATACTGCCTCGGAAACCCAAGGAGGGGGCTCTATGAGTCGGATCCGACTTCTTTGGTACATAAATTACTTGAAGTCACAGTAACGTCACTGTCACAGGAAGCAAGGGGGAATTAACTAAGAAGGCAAAAGTGATCACATTTCTATAAAAGGATCCACAATAATAATAGAAAACAAACAAGCAAACACAAAACCTAGGGTCTGTGTAATGTCAGTTGAATTGTCTCTGTGAGGAATGTTAACTCTTTCCTGTGATCTTGTTTGGGCTCCACAAACGTTCTCTCCAACCTCCAGCAGTTGTGCCTTCCAGACAGCACAAAGTAGGGTAGTTCATGGGATGCCATGAAGAAACGCTACCCTTGAGAGTCATGTTCATTGAGACTTCAACACTGGGCAGCTGAAGACTGATTTTTTTAAAAAGTTAAAAGTTAGAATGTCTTTGTGTGGTCAATTAAGTGCCAGTTAGGTAAAATATTTTGGCAAATTTACATTCTCTTTTTCTTTGGTTAGTTAGTGTTGAAGTTATGTCCTTGTTTGGGACTTAAGTTGCATGGTTTTTCATAAACTCTCATATGCTATTAAAATAACAGCAACAATGAAAATGACAAATGATCACCTCTTGGTAGAACATGGGGAGAATGGTCTGGACCATACTCTCTTGCCTGAAATAATGGAAAGATGCACACATTCCTTAGATTTGGTCTGTACTTAGCCCATAAGGTCATGTTATTTGAGATGGTGGATAGTTAAAAATATTCTCTTAAATTTAAGTTGAATGATTATTTATTTATTTGGGCTCCACATAAGTTTTCTTATTATTTTTATATTATATTCTTATTATTTTTCCTTTATGACCAACTTATTAGGTTATTTATCACCCCAGTAAGAGAGAGTTCTTGTCACTAAAAGACTCTAAGAGAGGAAGAGAATAATCCATTGAAAGACTGGATATTGGGGAAAATTATAAAAATGGTGGCAGTCACTTCAGGCTTGGGTTAAGTCATCCAAAGCGACAACACAGTCCTTCCCAATTCAGTATCAGAAGGACAGGGAACCTCTGCCTCCTTTTCAAAATGGGATTTCTAAAAAGTTCCGTCTGTTTCCTTTTACTACTAAACCCCTTGTTTCCTCTGTTTGGGTGCATTGTTGTTGTTAAGTGCTGTGGAGTTGGCTCTGACTCATAGTGAACCCATGTATGGCAGAACGAAACGCTACCTGGACCATCCTCACAATCGTTGCTATGTTTGAACCCATTATTGTAGTTGTTGTTGTTAGGTGCCGTTGGGTCAGACCTGACTCATAGTGATCCCTCCTTGGGTTTCCGAGGCAGTGTCACTACGGAAGCAGATTGCCCAACCTTCCTTCTGAGGAGTGCCTGGTGGGTTTGAACCGCCAGACTTCTGGTTAGCAGTCAAGTGCCTTAGGTACTATGCTACCAGAGCTCCTGTGGTAGCCACTGTGTTAATCCACCTGCCTTAGCCATCTCTTTTAATATTATTGCAAGTGAAATTTGTTAATAATGGTTAGGCATTAGGAAAATATCCTGATGTGCTACAGTATGGTGTATCTGGACTCTTAGAACCCCCAAGTTCACATCTGTTTTTACCACTGATCCTATTTCTTTGGCTCAAATAGTTAGAGAACATATAATGATTGTTAATTATAGCCCCCAAAAGCAGTGTTCCCAATGAAAAGTTTGGAAAATATAGATCTGGTTAGGAATTTTGGGTTCTTTGATTTGTTTTTGAAGGAGTGCACCACCACCACCACCACCACCACCACCCCCAAAAAAAGAGAGATCTCAATCTATCAGTTGAGATGCTTTTTTAGGGACTTGAACCACAGTAATTCAAACATTGTGGCACTTTCTCTCAGCTTATTGTGGGTTACCAAAGTGGCTGGCTCCCCCTTGTGGCCAAATGTGAACACACCATCTGACCAACCTCTACGAGAGCCACCTAATTTCGTGCTTGCTTGCTTTTTTAAACTTTTGTGATTTGGGTAAAAGTTTATAGAACAAATTGGGCTTCCAAGCAACAATTCATACACATTTTATTTTGTGACATTCATTGCAAACCCCACAATGTAACAGCACACTTCCCACTTCCTTCCTACATTCTCCATCTCAAGTCAACCTTTTTTAGCTTCTGTTATTTGTCTCACAAACTGTGGACTTTATACTCTGGAATAAACCGACAACTGTTAGATTGTGAAAAAGAAAGTGATAGGAATAACCTGAGGTTTAGAAAATCTCCTCAGATGTTGCTTTAGGAAAGATTATTTAGGAAAATAATCTTTTGGCCAATCATATCTCTCTATTTTTGGCAGCAGAGGGTACTATCTGATACAAATTGGATGAGTATCTGCTCTATGCAGAATTCTAAATTAGTAATTAGGGCAGAGTTCAGTAGTGAGAAGTTATAAAACATGAAATAACAAAAAAAAGAAAAAGAAAGAAAACAAATTCAAGGCCATTGAGTACCACCCATAGCAACCCATCCTTGGTTTTCTGAGGCAGTACCTCTACGGAAATAGATTGCCCAGTTGTCCTTCCATGTTGCTGGTGGGTTTGAACTGCCAGACTTCTGGTTAGCAGTCAAATGCCTTAGGCACTACTCCGCCAGAGCTCCTAAACCTTGAAGTAGGCAGCATTAATTTCAATGTGATATTTTCATAATTAAAAATGAACCCTAAACAGTTAACATGTACTTAGCCAAGACATAGAAAATCATTAAACCAGTTGCTGTTGAGTCGATTCCAACTTATGACTGGCTCATGTATATCAGGGTAGACATTTCACAAAAAATAACTGAACAAGTGATTTTTTCAGAAGTAGATCTCTGGGCCTTTCTTCTTAGGTGTCTTTCTTCTGAGGACCTCCAATCTTTCTTTTTCTAAATAGACTTTATTTTTTAGAGCAGTTTTAGATTTGCAGAAAATTGTGCAGAAAGTACAGAGAGTCCCCATATAACCCACTTCCCTCTGCACATAGTTCTCCTATTATTAACATCTTGTATGGTAGGGGATATTTATTACAATTGATGAACCAATACTGATACATTATTATTAAGTAAAATCCATATAGGGTTCACTCTTTGTGTTGTATAGTCCTGTGGATTTTGACAAATGCATAATGTCATATGTTCACCATTACAGTATCATACAGAACAGTTTCACTGCCTTAAAAATGCCCTGTGCTCCCTCTCTTCATTCTTTACCCCTTTCGCCCGAGTCCCTGGCAATGACTGATATTTTCACTGTCTCTATAGTTTTGGCTTTTGCAGCTACTCTTAGAATCATGCAATATGTTGCTTTTGTAGACTGGTTTCTTTCATTTAGCAGTATATATTTAAGGTTTCTCCATGTGTTTTTATATCTTGATAGCTCATTGATTTTTGTCATTTGAGTGATACACCACTGTATGGATGGATGTACCACAGTTTGTTTATCCATTCACCTATTGAAAGATATCTTGGTTGCTTCCAGTTTTGGCAATTATCAACAACACTGCTATAACTTTTCACCTATAGCTTTTTATGTGGACATATGTTTTCATCCAATTGGGTAAATATCTAGGGGCAAAATTGCTTGATCATATGCTAAGCCTGTTTGGCTTTCTAAGAAACTGACAGACAGTCTTCCAAAGTGACTGTGTGATTTTGAATTCCCATGAGCTATGAATGAGGATTCCTGTTACTCCACATCCTTGACAGCACTTGGTGATGTATATTAGATTTTAACGGTTCTAGTAAGCGTGTAGTAGCATATCATTGTTGTTTTAATTTGCAGTTCCCTAATGGTGTGTGATGGCGAGCATCTTTTCACATGTTTATTTGCCCTCTGTGTATCTTCTTTGGTGAAGTTCTTGTTTAGATCTTTTACCTATTTTGTAGTTGAATTGTTTCTTTTCTTATTGTTGGGTTTTTAGAGTTCTTTGTATATTTTGGATAGAGATTCTTGAATAGATGTACATTTTGCAAATATTTCTTCCCAGTCTATGGCTTTTCTTTTCATCCTGTTGATAGTAGTACATTCACAGGATGGAAGTTTTTAATTTTAATGAAGCCCAACTTACAATATTTTTTTCTTTTTTAGATTGGGCCTGCTATTGTGGTTGTATCTAAAAAGGCATTGCCAAACCAAGAGGAGCCCGGGTTTTCCTCTATGTTGTCTTCTAGAAGTTGTATAGCTCTATGTGTTACAAAGCTTTGATCCATATATTATTTTGTAAAAGATCTAAACTTTCTCTCTAGATTCTTTTTTGTTTTTCGCATGTGGATGCCCAGTTGTTTTTTACACACACACACACACACACACACATATAATACATACATATATATATATAATATATATAATACACATATACATATGTTTGCTGTGCAGCACTCTAGGTTGATACCTTTTTGTCTTTGAGCACATCTCTCCAGTGTCTCCAGGTTTACGTTGTTTCTGACAAGAAATCTGCTCCCATTCTCTCTTTTTGTTTCTTTGTATGTTCTATGTCTCTTCTCCTGACCTCTTTTTTTTTTTCTTTTTTTAAGGATTTTATTTTTATCACATTCTAAAAGCAATTTGATTATCATGTGCATTGGTGCAGTTTCCTTCATGTTTCT